CTGTTTATCGGCGCGTAGACGGCGGAGAACGCGCGCTCGGTCGTCCGGAGAGAGAAATGTGGCTTCGGCGGGGAAGTCGTGGACCATCCAGTAACTTGCTATTCCTACGAAGATGGTGACGAGACCTTCAAGGATCTGGGGTTATTGTCAGCAACATGGTCACAGGTAAGAGGAAGCGTTCAAGTTGCACTTACGAAGATCCACGCCCAGCCTGGCTTTCCGCCTACGCCTCCCATCTGCGCAATGCCAGCGGCGAGTAGGCCACCAAAACTACCAGCTAGAGCGGCAGCCGAGAAGAAGATTGCAGCTCGAATGCCGAACTCGGAACGTTTGTACCAGCAACTCAGGTAGTAGTTTACTCCAGGGAATAGTCCTGCCTCAGCACATCCCAGCCACCAACGCTACGCATCGTCAGCCAAATAACCCTTGATACCGGATCACCAACCGCAAATGACTCACCGCAGTCATAAGACCAGCATAATTATGCACCAACCCCATACACGTCATACAAATTCCCCACCAGATCATAATAAGTGGTAAGAAGATACTCGGGCGTAACTTCTTCAACAGCACATTGGTCAGCGGCTCAAAGACGGAGTAGCTGACGAAGAAGATGGTCAGACTGGCATTGTACTGGCCATCAGTCATGTTGAGATCTTCTTGCAAGCCATCGACTTTGGCGTTGCCGATGTTTGTGCGATCTAGGAAGGAGATCAAGTAGAGGAAGGAGAGCCAAGGAATTAGTCGGAAGTCGAGTTTGCGGAGGAGGGCTTTGTCCTGTGGAGTGGGATGTTAGTATATGTATGGCAAGGAGCTGAGATGTGACTTACATGCGCAGCGCGTTCCTCTTCGCTGAGTCCAGCGTCGGGATCAGGTAGGTTCTCGATTGTGTGTACATGTTTTGCCGTTTCAACATGCTCCTCGCCGATAGTCTTCTCTTCCTCGCTCGACCTATCGATTGGCCGCTCTACTCCAGAGGCCATGTTGTCGACGTAGAGACAGGGTGTGAGCTAGTAGCTGGGCAAGATGTCAAGCCTCAAACAAGCCTCAAACAAGCCTCTTAGTGAATCCCAGTGCCCAGAGCGCAGAAAAGGGTTCGCGCAGGAACGTCAAGCAACAAATCGCGGTCCGAAAGAATCACAAGTCAGTATTCTCAACCATGGAACTGGGAACTTGCTTGTCCGGAATTACCCCTCGATCAGCGAGCGAGACGCTGTCCCTTAAGAACGTCACCGACTGTCGAACCACTGGAGAAAGCGGCTGGGGTATCATCAGCCCGAGGCTATTGAGCCGCCTATCATCTAGTCCACTCATGATGATCTTATTCCGATGACGGCAACGTCTGGTGTGCTTTACTCCAGGACCCAATCCCCACCATCCACTCCCTAGCGCTTGCCGATCCCTGGCTTCACCATGGGAATTTCTCCCGCGGAGAGTCGGGGTTCAGAAGTAAGAGCGAAGTGCTATTGATCTGAGTTTCTGACTGACTGCATGATGATGCCAAGGCTTTGTTTCTATATCCTCAGCGTTTAATCCTATCCTTGGATCTATCCATGCTCAAAGCGGTAATGTGCTGTGGTTGTGATGAAGAGGCTCGTGTCGCATGTGACCCACTATTCACATCCCCCGCTAGTGGCCGCCTAGAATATACGATACAGCGTGGACAGAACGTATTTGATGCCGCCTCATCCTTTGGACGAGACGATGTGCACATTTTTTCAGATCTCAACGGCGCAGTATTATTGATGCCGAGGATTGAGGCGTCGCATGCCGAGCATTCAAGCGTGAAGGGCCTTGCAACGTGTGCGGGGGTCAAAGATGCGGGGGACGGCTAAGCTTCCACATAAGCATGCGCTTGTGACGTTGCTTGCTTAGACATCATCAAGTGCTTATCTGCTAGCAATACGGATATAATCTTGCGGAATTAATCACTTCTCGACACTGTAAGTCGAAAAATGTACAGCTTGTTAACCCTTCTCGCGGGAGAGTGTCATTAGATCCCATGAAGGAGAGGCGCGGATTGATGCGCTGATGCAAGGCTCAATACCTGTCCATTCTGTGCTTCCTGCCGGACTTCCCTACTGCGGTAGTGCCGAAATCGCTAAATGCTTCAGCATGGAGCCACCATGATAGTATCCACACAGCGTCTCGTGACCAACAATGTGGATATTAGGGTTAATTGTTCATGATCGTTTTCCAAGGCACGCGCCTGCGTTATCATCCGGTCTGTGTGTAGCCGCGATTTCAGAAGCCTGTTTCTCACAAGTATCTTGAGCCAGCGCTCCACTCGATGCGGGCCCGCTCTGGTCAATTTTAGCCTCCACATACTCATTCCCTTCTTTCCTTTCAGGTATGAGGCCGAATAGCCCGGATCGCTTTCTGACGATGGCTAAATGGACCGCGACGATGACATTGAGTCCTGTGAACGCCAGCATGACTTGGAACTGCCTATTGTCTGGCACGGTGGTGCTAATCAGCATGTATGTCTCGTATAGCTATATTTCCAGGGAACTGAAACTTACAGCTGTTACCAAAGACAACACCAACACGATCCCTCGCCGCATCCGGTAAGTGCGCAATCAACGATGTTGAACTTTGCATTTCCCTGATTTCCTCGCGACTCAAAAAACTGGATAACCCTGTGTTCAAGTGCTCGCGATGGATTGCAGAGCAGATGGCGACGGCGACACATCCGCCAAGCGTCCGCACCATGTTGAGCGCTCCGGTACCGACAGCGATGTCCTTTTCTGGAATTGAGGTAGCGACAAGCACGAAATATGGCGGACTTGCAAGACCCAAAGCAAGACCAGTAATGATTTCGTAACCGTACAGTCCAGGCCACAGGTGAGAGTAGGTCGGCAAACTACTAAGAAGTCCAATACCAACGCATACGATCGTGGTGGAGCCAATCAAAACGATCTCAACTGGTACCTTCTTTACTGCTAGTCCAGACGCCATGGCACCAACCGGAGTCACAACGGTAGCAGGCAGCAGAAGGATACCGGCACGCTCCGCGCTTGTAAAGTTCACTCCCTGAAAGCGTTGTGGCAGCTGGACGAAGACAACGTAAAAGGCGAATCCTAAGAGGAACTGACTTCTGTCCTGCCGTTAGCGGAGTCCGACTACAGTGTTCCAGACTTACAATAGAGTCAACGCCATGGATGCATTCCGAAGAAATTGTACAGGAAAGACGGGGGCTTTCTGCGTTCTGGACGATATCCAATACTCGTACAACCCAAAGAGTACCAGGAGAGCGATTCCAGCTACAAGTGGTCCGATGATAACACCACTGCCCCAGGCATGCGACACACCGGCTTCCTGAAGGGCGTAGATGAGAGGTATAGGCCAGCAGACAGACAAGATGCCACCATAGATGTCCAAATGGCGTATGCGTTGCAGATTCGTTCTACCGTCGTCGAATGCAGGCATCGAGAAGAACAACATTGCCATTGCGACACCGATGATGGGGCCACTAATGCTAGTCAGCTCGCACATCTCAATAGCCGGCACCTTGCATACTTCATGAAGAATATCCATCTCCAAGTTGTTCGATCAGCGATGATGCCACCGAGTAGAGGCCCTAGCAGGTTTGCCAAAGCGAATACCGAGCTTACGATCCCAGAGTAGAAGCCAATCTTCTCAGGTACAATCATCTTCATGATGGCGACGAATGTCAAGCTGTAGAGGCCAGATCCTCCAATGCCTTGGAAGGCGCGGAACACGATTAGTTGAGTCATCGTCTGCGCTCCGCCACAAGCCATGGAGAATACCAGGAAGATTGACGCGCAAAGTAAGAGTAGACTCTTGAGGCCCCAAATGTCGCTCAGCTTTGCTGTGATCATCAAGAATGCTGTGCCGTTAGTCCGGTGATGAAGCTGCGATGGATAAGTCTTACAATTATAGGTCAGTAGATACGCGGTAATCAGCCATGCTGCCTGCTCAAGAGCACCGAAATCGCTTGAGATTTTGATGAGCGCGGTCGTGACGATGGTAGTATCTAAGGCAGATAAGAAGAGACAAAGCCACAGTCCAGTAATAATGACGTGTAATCGACGTGAGCTGATGTTCGGTACGATTGGCACAGTGGAGGGTGTGATGTCGCCCGTAACCCGGCTACTGTCATCATCAACCATGATGTTGTCGAGGTCGAGACACTTGTCCGTTCTCCGTCTTACTATAAATTACCAGCCACGTTCGGGGCGCAATCACATGTGCGAAGGATGAAGCCCCTGCAGCAGATACAGGGCTCGCACGGATTGAGGTCAGCTGTAGAAGGCTGCATCCGTCCCAATGGAATGCATGCTTCTAGGCTGCAGCGGGGTAAGAAACGGAGAGCGCAGGCTCGAGAGCTGCTGCATTACGATGCGCCAGACTGCAGAAGGTCCGCATGCCTTTGACAAGTAGGACGCCCTGTCCCTATGCTGCGGTCCTTGCGTGTCCAAAGCGCGTTCGCTTGGGGTAACGCGTGGAGGAGAAGCCGCTCTTCCGAATTTTCTCCCCTTGAATACAGCACCTTCAATAACCTCTGCATCGCTTTCCATCTCGCAACTGTATGCCCAACCGAAAAAGCAGGGGAACCGATTCTGGGTGAGTATAGTAATCTTGGGATGTACAAACGCATGCATGCAGGCATCGATGCGCCTCACAGCCACTGAAAGCCGTGACGAGCGGCCGCGAAAGCTGGGAACCCCCCTATTTTCTTGTACCCCCTTCAGTCGTCCTCAGCGATTTCCTTTAGTCGCAGCGCTTTCTTTTGAACGTAAAGTGCAGGTAACGACTGTTGGTTGGTGTTCGTGGTTTCAAGCCCGCCACGCGAAACTCGCGCGCGCCTGCAGCTGTGACGTCAAACGCCGATGGGACGCGACTTCCATCCTAGCAGTACCGCGCTCTCACTTCCTTAGGTGCATTGCCCGCGTCCACATCTTCAACGACACTCCGCTATCCTGCTCGTGTAGGGCGAAAAATGCTAATTCCATTCTCTTCTACTTTCCTTTATCGCAATGACTTCAATCTCGTTTGAAGCTGCTCTCAAGCTGCCCGACAACGACGCGTCCAATTTACGCCTCTACAAACTCGTCTCTGCACGCGACTTCAGCAGCTCGAGTCTTTCTTCAGTCGCGCAGGACTATCTGACTAGTTTCTGCGATCCTGGTCTTTCTTTAATCCGGCGGCGATGGATCGGCATTGCGCTCGCAGGCATGCTGGAAATGCCGGCGGTGGCCACACACATCGGGGCATCGACTAAGCGTCTACGCAATCTGGGAGCCATCATTCTGAGCGAAACTGAACAGGAGCAGATCAAAATTATTGCTGGTATCATCATACGGCAGGCACTGGAACAAGGGATCGAGTACAGCAGGTTCTGGTCCACGGGAAAAGTCGGACACAGCGCGCCGAATTTTCCGCTCCAGGCCGATGCCGAATGGATGCAGAAGTTCCAAGGCTTTCTCGATATTCTGAGCGACCTGGCACTCGCGAGACCAACCAACGAGCCCTCTGTCATGTACCTAGTGTCACTATTCGCCACAGATGGGTTCAAATGGCGGGAGTCAAGCGCTACGTTCCCTATCGCGCTCATTGAGGCTGGAGTGTTGACCATTATCGCGCCCGATGAGTACCTGAAAGACTGCCAGTTTGTAGACATACCAGTCGAGCACATTCTGAACACGCGATCAGAACCGTCGAAACTACACAACTCACAGGCTCAGCGTACAGAGCATGAACCATGGGATCTCGTCATGACACTCACATCCGAACCCTGGAGCTACCGTCTCAACTCCACGCAACGCATTGCGACTGATCTATCGCTAATGTTCAAGCATTCCGGTGATGCAATAGAGTGGGAGAGTTGCATCAAAGCCCATCAGAAAGAACGCGAACCTCGTTCGAGAGTGTCTCGAAACTTGCCTATCGATGCGAGCTCGCCTTCGATCCGACAGTCAAACGCAAGAAGATCGCTTCGAAGTGGCTCCCAGACGCTTCGGACAGAGCGTGTCACCTCCAAGAAACGTACGGCAGACAGTAGCGATGCGACAGCTCTGCAACTCCAGTCACAGCATCCATCGTCGACATCGAAACGCATGTACGGCAAAGGAAAGCTACCCCGTGTATCTCAGGCCACCAAACAGAATATCTTCAAAAAGCTCAACTCGGAAGATGAAGCTCTTGATATGCTTATAGAAAGCAAAAGGAATACCCACACTACTTCTTCGGACAAAACAAGTGTTGCTTCATCTCCCCAAAGAAAATCACGAAGCTCGAAGACTGTCTCGGACAAGGAACCAGCCAAGACTAATACTAAGGCACGCACATCGCACAGTAAGGATGAAGCAGACGACGATGAAGATTTCATACCAACTCAGACGAGGCCGAAAAAGAGGACAAACCCCAAACGCAAAGCAACACCAGACCCCATGGCCGATGCCAACCCGAGAAAGAGATCCCGTAAAGAGCCGAGCAAAGGTACGAAGTCGACTGTGACCGGCGTGAAACAACTGGCGAAAACTCTTCCGCTGGCGAAACCATCAAAACCTCCATCATCCGTCCCTTCGTCACGACACACCTTGATCGGAGGACTTCTGGGTCTTCAAAGACCTGCCAAGATCTCCGAGAGCCCGTTCAAGAAGCCAACATTACCTGCAAGAGTCGCTCAAACACCGTCAACTCCTACCAAACCGAGTAGAAAGCCTGTGGGAGTACCAGTGCGGCCCCAAACCCCTGTGGAAGCACGGAGATGTTCTGGAGATGATGCTTTACACTACATGGCATCGTCACCGCCTGTGGCTGACGAGGCCGAAGAGAATGATGAGTGGCATCATGCGATTGCTGTCGAGGCCGCAATGCTCTCCAGCAACAGCAAACCTACCCCCGCGTCACCAAATGCAGAATCAACAGCGATATCTGGTCACGCTGATCGTGAGGATATAGCCTCGGAGAAGAAGACAGGAGATTGGCAGACCGCGAAAAGCGACCCCTTTGGCCGACGATCTGCTGGGAAGAAGGCCACATCGTTCATACGCCGACTGACTGGAGAAGGTTCATTGAACGAGGACATAGCCCCTGAGATTGACGTTTCAAACCAGCGGCCTTTGCTAGTCGCCGGTTCTAACGCAACTGAAGCCTTACCTTCAATTGCAGCGAGTCGACCATTCCTACAAAAGACGCCTTCGGGTGGGAAAGAGGCGACTCTTACAGAAGGAGATACGAACAAGGCGCACCCAAATCCCAAGGTTGCGAGCCTTTATACGGGCACAACAGATCATCAGACACAAGAGTCGAGAGATCAAGGAGTGCAACAAAAGGACGACACAAGGAGACATAACGAGCAGGCTGGCACACATTCAAAGCCCACAGCGCTATCCAAAGAGAAGACAACGACCCGAAAGGTACCCGGAGATGCGGTAGGAAAAGAGACGACTGTACCCACCTTGCCTTTCAACTCGCGGTTCATCGATACTACTCAGCCAACTGTTCAGGCCGACCAAGAAGCCACTGAAAGTACAAGGAACTTGCTCGAAGAGACTCGGCAGATCGTGGACCAACCGCAACAACTCAACGAAGGGATCCGGCAATTGAACGATGGTGGGCCTATCGAGCAGGCGTATCACGAGGACGATACTCTGATCGGTGGCGGTGAAGACAATCAGGAAGCTGACAATGACTTCTTCGACGCTTCGCCAATACATCTCCAATCCTCCCCGCCACACCTAGGCTCTTCTAGTAGCCATAGCTCGACCTCTGCCGTACGCGAGCCATTAACGGACCCACCTCTACCAACATCACAAGCAGAAGAGATGGACTGGGAGGCGAGTCTGCAGCCGCACCAGCGCGATCTTCATGAACTGATGATAAGGACTTCCAAGCGGGTTATGCAGCACATTGTCGGCAACGAGACTAGTGTAGACGACATCGCTGAGATGTACGCGCAGGATGGCGAGCATGTACTGAGCACCCTGATCAAGCGACACGACACCGACTACGAGGATGTCTTCCAGGGTATGGAGAGCACAAAGGGAAAACTCCGGAAAGAGCTTCAGCGAGCCGCCAAGCAGATGGCGAAGGACAGAGAGAGGGTCGCTGCTATTGCTTGATTCTTGTGGAGTTCACCATGCAATCTTATGAGAGAGATCAACGCTTAATGGGGGGGGGGTGGGGGGGGGGTG